TTGTGTCTGTGTGTGTGTGTGTGTGTGTGTGTGTGTGTGTGTTTTTAAAGAAAACAATATTGATATGTCGTTATGTGTCCCTAACTTACTGGTCAAGGGGGGGAGGGGGGAAATGCTTTACAAATACCAGATGTGTTCTTCATTGGTATTTGAAACATAGTATTGGAAAGGTTAAATCTACTCAATATAGATTTTGGTTCCCTCCAGAGTATGATACTGGAAAGCTTACAAAACTCAAAAGAAAGTTAGTGTGTGTGTATATCCCCATTACCTCTCCCTCTCAGCTGCCCTCCGCAACCTAAGAAATTTATTTCTCATCAGGGAAGAAAAATTCTAGTAGAGATTAGTGATGAAAGAGATGCAAATGAAGATTTTTCAGTATGACTGCATTTTTTTTAAAGGAACCCTTTAAAAATCGCCTCAATAAACTGCAGAGTTCTGTTGATCATTCAGCGCAGAGTTTCTCAACCTTTTCCTGATCATGGCCCCATTCCAACTGTGTTAACTTCCTATGCCTCCTTGTCCTTCCAGTGGGCCCTTCATTTATGTGGATGGTTTTCACCTGAAATATCCCGGGAGACCACATGGACCCCAGCTGAGAAATGCTGACTTGCAAGACCTTTACGTTATTTTCTATGTGCCAGATTATAAAATAGAGGTTGATAAAAAATTTACTCTACTTTTCAATAAAATTTTAAAAGGCTAAAACTGAGGATGAAGAAACTGGAAAGTGGACACCTAAAATTTTCTAATGAATTTCAAACCTATTAAATAATTAGTGTCATTAATATCATCTTCTTAAAATACCTGTCCATAGCAATCTTGGAAAACACTTGAAGAAGGGCAACAGCCTCCTCCGACAGGTACCTGCGCAGAGCAGACATCACTTCTTTCCAATCAGAGAACTGTCTCTGCCTCTGGACTAGGAACACTGGGTGAGATTTAGCTCAGATACTAAAAAGACTTTTAAGTTGTTTGCTCACCACAGAAAATGCTGATTCTTAACTTGTGGTGGAGAGACTGGGTTTCTGTAGAAAACAAATCTTAAAAATAATCACTTGGTAAAGATAAAGAAGAGGCATTCTAAATCTTAAGGGAAAGAGGGAGGGCGGGGAGAACCCATCATTTTTCAACCTGATCTCCAAACCTTCTATTTGCTTCTCATTAAGTTATAATCTTTTCATGGAGGGACATAGACACACCACATAGCCTGCCAACATGAAATTGCTCAGGAAGTCATTTATAAAGCAGTTCCATCTCACACGGTAGGTTACTAGAAAAAATCATCCTTTGCTGTAAAAGCTATGTGACGGTAATTAGAAAAATTTTCCATTGCATAGTCTGTCACTTGGTGGGTTAAGTGTAATTGCTATTTACTATTGTGGATTGTTTACTAGCTGTATAACCTACCCAGATGTGCAAATTGCTAAGCTCTTTCTACAGAGGAAAACAATGTCTTAAGTACTTTAATTAAAATAATATTAACTATTATGCAGAGAGTAAAGGAGAAAAGGAGAGGAAACACATCTTTTCTTCAAATGCTATAGATCACAGCCAGTGAATAGCCTACATTAGAATGGAATTCAGATTTCAGAGCACAGAATGTATCCATTAACTGCAGCCACTTGGTTAATAAAATCACATTAACACAATTTAACTGGCCTTAAAATGGTCCCAAAGAACTACAGAAATAGACTTTGAAGCGTCTCTGCCACTATATCTCATGATCTTAATACTGGAATAAAACTTACTTTTCACCTAATTAGAACCTTATATAATGTTTGTTTTTAATTTCGGTATTGCCTTATGATAGCATAAGTATTCTTTTAAGAGACATTGATGTTTACATATCTGGAGTAAAAAAAAGTAATATCACTCCTTTCTTGAAATATTAGTAGCAAAGCCTACAACTAATAATAGTAGAAGCACTTTTGTTAGCTAGAAGAAAAAAATAATGGGTATCTCTGGGGTCACAGGCATTCTTTCTCCTCTTTTCCAGAAAGGGACTCACAAGAAATAGCAAGAGTCATGCCAACTGCATGCTCAAGATCTGTTTTGAAGTAGACTAAATGGGAGGAAAACGTTTTGTTGTTGTTGTTGTTGTTGTTTTGCTAATTCCTCAAACCAATGCTGATACTTCCTAAGGGTGCCCTTTCTTCAGCTACCATCATGTGGGCATCTAAACAAAACAAATTTACTCAACGTTTTTGGTGTGAAGCTATAACTGGCAACATTCCTGATCATTTCATGCCTCCTTACTAGAAAGCAGAAAAGGGCTTTTAAATGCACATAGAAACAGAAATTTGCAAATAAAATGTGCAACTTACTGCAAAGTCAGTTTGGATAACTGAAGAATTTTAAGCAGCCACTGTGCGGGACAAACAGCCAGCGAAGTTCAAATTGACAGTCCATGTGCTGCTCTGTTACAACCTTTAATTAGCACGCAATGGAGACAACATCAAATTGCTAGGAATGGACAGTTTCTAGTGGTAATTATACTGAGATGTGAAGGGTTCAGAGAGCTAACTGACACTTTTGAGCAGAGAACTACTCAGAATCATCTTGTTACAGTACATTAAAATAAAACTTTACTAACATAGGCTCACAAGTGAGAAATATTCAAATTATTTCTTCTCACCATTCAGAAAAAAAATTAAGGTGATACCAAATATAATTTTGATTTGTGACATAATTTATAACTTAGAAATTTCTCAATCTTCAAACAAGGCAAAGCTATTTAAAATGAATCTTCCAATCAACTATCATGATTTTTAAAAGAAAATAAAAAAACTAAATATATTACACATATTTTTGGCCCACAAAAAGAAACTTTAATAAATACAAAATAGGGCAGATAATGATTTCATACAGTCATGTGACACTTGCCCTCCATGACCTCAGGCACGTGGGATCTGCATAATGCCTGCTGATCAATCATTCCTCTAAAAAGCAGAGAAGGAAAAGCTTTAGAAAGAAGGTAAGAATTAGCATGGCATAAAGAGAATATTACATATAGGAAGTAGGAAAATACATCCAAATCTTTACCTATTGAAAAGGAATTAAGATCAAATATTCCCTGACAAATGAAGTATTATATCACATCATTAATAGATATGTTCTCTCTACTCATCTTTTAAAATATATATATGTAAATTAGGCTAGACTCGGGTATAAATAGCCAATGGTATCTCAGGGGACAGTGAAACTTCTCAGCAGAAGCAAGCACAGATGCCTTTAAAATCTAGTTCCGCCTTGTGGCGGAAAGGAGGGGACGATGGGAGAAGGCAGGTTAAAAAAGAAACCACACATATTCCTCTCAGAGTCACCAACTTACTAAGCTACCCCCTATGATTTTTAACCCTAAAGTCCTGGTATTTAAAGGAAAAAATCCCCAAACATAAAACCCAAGTCCCTAAATTGTTTTAAGAGTACTGAGGGGTGAGTAAAACTTTATATCAAATTTCTCTATTCTGCTTTAAAAGAAACTTTCAGAGGTGTATCCTTCAGATCTGACACATCACTTCACCACGGGCACCACTGATCCTACAAGTGTCGTCAACATCTTACAAGTCTTACCAAAGAATCACTACTGTAAACATAAAAAAAAAAAAAGAGGGAAAAAAGAAGAAAGAAAAAGATGGATCAGGGAGTTCACAGACCCCGTCTTTCCAAATCCATTGGCCCCCATCCCGCTTTCGTGCCAACAACGCCGTGACCCATGTGACATTTTGTGAAGGGACTGCACGACAGGGGGACCTGGAAACCGAACGCACGTCTGAAAGGGCGAGATTGACAATCAGGTCTGAGTCTCAGCCACCCTGCCACTGCCGCACCCCCATCTCACTGGGCCCCTCCCCCCCGCCCTCCATGGCACTCACTGCACCCCCTCACCCCCAGCCCGCAACCCCCATGGCACTGTGCCAGGAATTTAGCTCTCAGTTCCATTTCTCCTCAGGTTCACTTAGCCGAAAGGGCCCTGCGACTGCGACGACGACGACGACGACGACGACGACGACGACGACGACGACGACGACGATGTGACTCTCCCCGCCAGACCAGCCCAGACCAAGCCCCCTTTTCTCTTCGGGAGACTTGGTTAGGGGGCTGGAAAGAACGGCCAAGCTCTCGGTGAGATGGGAGACGACGGGGAAACGCGCGCGAGGGCTCGCAGACCCCCCGGGGAAGGAAGACCAACAAACGGGACGGCTGCTCCCTGCCCTGCACAAGCACACACGTGTGGGCACGCACACATACACACACCGGCGGTCAAAGGACAGTCTTTTTTTTTCCTTTTTTAATGAAACATGATCACAAGTTGGAATGGAGTCCTGGCCTCGTGTGGGGACGGCACGGTCCGTGCTAAGCCTGGGGGGCGGGAGCCTCGGGCTGCCTCAAACGCACCATCTGTTCTCTCTCATGCGCCTGTGCGCGCGGGAGCTCGGCTAAGAGGGTCGTTCTATCTAGAACCACCTAGGTCAAGTTCTCTGGCAAACAGAATGGGAAAGCGTTGATCTGAATACTAGGAAATCGTAAAGGGCACTGGTAATCTGAGGTATCTTCCACTTCTAAGACTTGCTGCTAAAAATCACTTGTTTCTATCCAGTCACTGTGCTGAGCCACTAAGGAAACCACGGGGGGGGGGGGGGGGGGGGAGATTAGGGGAGGATGTGCAGTGACCCTGCGGGGAGGGAATGAGCACCAGTGCACAGGGGCACACGTGAACACTGAAGCAAGGTCCACTGCGGGGGTGGAGGGTAGGGGGCGCGACTTGTTTCACTGGAAAAAGGGAGTTCCCCTCCTCGAGTCCCCCCCCCCCATCCGCTAGTTTTAAAATCTTCTTGAGGAAAAGGAGGAAGTGGGGAGGGGCGGGGAGCAGGATCCAGAGGAAACGCAGATCGAAAACGCCAGGTTCCCCACCTGCCGGGCACGCGCACACGCACACACGCACACGCGCACGCGCGCGCGCACACACACACACACAGAGACGGGCGCACGCGCGCTCAATTAGGGGAGGGGAACGGGGAGGAAGCGTTATTGGTACTCGTAGCTGTGGCACCTGTTACTGTGAAGCCGGTCGGAGGGGCTATGGAGCTGTGGCTGGGCTGCAGGTCCTTGGGGATGCCACTGTGCGCGCTCAGCTGGTGGCCGAAGGCCGCGCTGAACTGCGGGAGCTGCTGCTTGGGCGAGGTGGAGGCCACGAGTTCGGCGGACGGCCCCAGGCCGCTGAAGCTGGTCTGCGGCAGCCCCGGGAGCACGCTGGCGCTGCTGGGGGTGGCGGTGGCGAAGGCAGGCTGTGTGGTCTCGGAGTTCGAGGTGGTGGGGGGCGTGGAGAGGGCGGTGGAGAGGAGGTGTCCGTCGGCGGCGCCCAGGAGGTTGCTGAAGGGCGACGGGTCCCCCAGGCCGACGGGCAGGCTGCCCCAGTGAGTCCTGGGGTTGACCACGCCGCCCAGGGGCACCTCGAGCGGGGCGGGGAGCAGGTGCGGCGCCATGAGGGGCATCTCGGCGGAGAAGGTAGCTGCCATGGTGTCCCCCGAGTAGGAGGCCGCGTGGGGGGAGGTGATGTGGTCGCTGTAGGGGGACGGCACGGGCTCGCTGTCGTAATGGCTTCCGTGGGGCGAGGAGTGGGAGTGATCACTGCTGTATTGCTGTCGTGAGGTGATTAGGTCGTCTGCCTTGCTCAGCAGCTGGGCAGGGTGTGGCCTCTGGGAGGCATGGCTGCCGTCGTGGAGTCCGTGGAACTGTCCCGGGAAGGCTCGCTCCCCGAGCGCACTCTGGCTGATCAGAGTGGCAGAAGTAAGGCCGACGTTGGCGGGGGCAGAGAACTGCCCCTGGATCTGCCCTGCCAGGGGTGGAGGTGGGTTGGACAAGGTCGCAGAACGGAGCAGGTTCTCATCCAGCTCGAGACTCGAGAAATTGTCGGGGACGATGCGCCCGTTCAACAGCTCCCCGAGGTCCGGGTTCACCTCCCGGCTCAGCGACGGCATCCCGGCCGCTCCGGTGCCGCCGGAGAACACCCCGATCCCTCTCTCGGACAGCTCCTGGACCGGCACGCCATCGGACTGGGTCAGCACCCCAATGGTGCTCAGGCACTCGAGGGAGCTGACGGCCTGCAGGGCCCGTTCGAGTTCCTCGGCCTCTTCGGTGGTCGGGATGAGGTCTCCGTTCTTTCCTGAGGGAACACAAGGCAAGGGGTGCGGGGAGAGAACATCAGCGGGGCGCCCACCCACCCCGCGGCGCAGAGATCACCCGCTGGAACGACTCCGCTCGGCATCCTACGGGAAGAGAGTCTCTCTGGGAAAGTGTCCGGGGAAGGACAGGTCCGAAAGGGGAACTCGAAATTTTGATCTGTAGGACAGCGGGTGAGATGCCACACCGTTCCCGACTGCTAGTGCTTGAGCTGCTGGTATATCCCGAGTGTTGGCGAATCCCCCTCCCCACCCTTGTGTCAAAGTGTTAGGGGTCCACCAGTTTGAAGCTCCTGGTGACTATGGGATTACATGGGCTGCCGCCTGAAGTTCTCCTGGTATCACTGAACTGGCAACCCCAACCTGTCAGTTCATTTTTCGGAGAAGCCGGAGGAGAGAAATCCACCTGGGTCCCCCTGTTCCAGTGGGAGGGTCCGCTGAGGAAGGCTCAGACACTCCACTCAACTCACAGGTTACCTTGCAAACGCTTCTGAGCTGCTCTCTAACCCTTCTGGCTCATTCCTCTCCCATTCCTAATTTTTAGAAAACAGATGTCCATGAGCTGATTTTATGTTTTAAAAAAAATTCTAAGATGCAGGGATGTGGCTCAGTGATACAGGACTGATCCTGTATGTGTGAGGCTCTGGGTTCAATCTCTGGCACAAAAGGGAGGAGAGAGAAGGGATGAGAAAGGGAGAAGAGTAAGGGGAAAAAAAGTGGAGGGGAGTGGGAGGGGAGGCAGAAAGGGAAGGGAAAGGCAAGAAACATTCTAAGAGTAAAAACAATTTTTTAAAACCCCACTAAAATGTTGGTTGGATTTGAAAATATGTACTTTTAAGTGAAGTACAGGGTGAGGGGTTAAAATCAGGACACGCATAGGGTTAGAGGGGCAGGAGCAGTGGGTTAGGGCTCTTGCCTGCCCACCCGGGTTTGATCAAATAAACAAACAACAACAACATACACACAAACACACACACACACACACACACACACAAACCAAGCATAGGGTCAGGGATGTGTCTGAGTAGGAGAGGACATGCTTTGCATGTGTGAGACCCTGGGTTCGACTCCAGCACCCCTCACATCACTGATACTGCTGGGTGCAGTATGCAGAACCACTACCACCACCATGACGACAAAAATTAGGACAAGTCCTGAGTGACTTCAGTAAATTCAAGTTCAAAGTGTCCTTTGCTCAGCACTGAGTGTGCAGGGCCCAGGGCGAGAAGTAAGGGCTACCCCAGCCTACGGCCAGCGCTTCCAGCTGTTCCTGTGCCATGGCTGCATATGGTCTCTCTCCACATTCCTGTTAGGAAGGAGAGCTGGAGGCCTTCTGAGGGGACAGAGGCTTTTAAGTATGAGATAATCAAAGAGCTACTCCCAAGAGACTACTTGATTTGGTAGAGATGGGGAAATCGGGCTTGTATGTGCAAAATGGAAATGAGGATTTTGGTTCACACCCAGCGATGCTCAGGGCTTACTCCTGGCTCTGCACTCAGGAATTACTCCTGGTGGTGCTTGAGGGACCATAATGGGATGCTGAAGATCAAACCCGATTCACCTTACAAGTAGACAAGCACCCTACTTGCCATACTATAGCTCCAACCCCTGGAAGAAAGAATTTTTAAAAAGTTTAAAATAAATAAAAGCTAAAATTTTTCAAAGAATCTGCACCATTAAATTATCGATCTATATAGCCTTTGAGATGTTAGACCATCTTCCCTTCTGAGAAGGAGAGGAAAATCCTAAACCTAACCCCTAAACTAGTTTTAGCAGGGATATACTTTCTACCTAAAGTGAAAAATCTTAATTTATGAAGAGGGATACTGCAAACACATTTCAAAAATGACAGACAGTTTCATTCTTAAAAACTCAATGGAGGAGCTGGAGCAATAGCACAGCATGTAGGGCATTTGCCTTGCACGCAGCTGACCTAAGGTTCAATTCCCAGCATCCCATATGGTCCCCCGAGCACCGCCAGGAGTAATTCCTGAGTGTGTGAACCAGAAGTAACCCCTGTGCATCGCCAGGTATGACTCAAAAAGAAAAAAAAAAAACCTCAACAGAATATTATGCAGAATCATGCAATTTACAGAAATGTGGACGGACGTAGAGGACATTATGCTGAGTGAAATCGGTCAGAATGAAAGGGACAGATACAAAATGATCTTGCTCATATATGGGACTTAAAGATACACAGTGAGGTAGCAAAAAAGATCCAAAGGCAACATAATAGCTGAACTGATCCACACAATTTAGTTGGGGGGGAAGGGAGGAGAGGGAAGGGCTTGGGTTCCTCGGGGGAGGGAGACAGGTACACTGGTGATGGGTGTGATGTTGGAATATGTCCGTGAGAAACTATTATTCATAGTAATAGAAATCAAAAAAATTATTTAAAAATTTGAAAAAACAAACCTCGGAGCTGGAGAGATAGCACAGCGGGTAGGGCATTTGCCTTGCATGTGGCCGACCCGGGTTCGATTCCCAGCATCCCATATGGTTCCCTGAGCACCGCCAGGAGTAACTCCTGAGTGCAGAGCCAGGAGTAACCCCTGTGCATTGCCAGGTGTGACCCAAAATGCAAAAAGAAAAAAAAAAAGAAAAAACAAACCTCATTTTAAAACTCAGGCCTTTTGGATAAAAACATTGATCTTACCTTCAAAAAAATCAAACACTTGTAGGTCATCAGGGAGCCGTGGCAGGACATCCGAGAAGTCCTCCTGGTTCAGTTCCAAGTCATGTGGAATGTCAGTGATCTCGTTGGCAATGTCATCCGGCAACTCATCAGCACTCAGCTCTGGCGTGGACGGGCTCCTGGGGAAGAGGACACGGTGACTCCCCCCACTCCCCCGCACCATCACTCTGACACCCCCAGGACCAGTGCATCAAACAGAAAGCTGGGAAACACTAACTCCAAAAAAAATCTCCCTCCCTACTCTATGCAAAGGAAATCTGAATGCGGAAAGAAGGGTATACACTCTCTGGTCACTCTACCTGCTACCTTTCCCCAGGCATGAAGAGAAGACAACCACTTATTGGTGAGGGTCTCACTTTGAATTTGCAGAATGAACTACAATTCGGCTTATCAAGTGGTCTTAATGCATTCTAGCAGAATTTCAAATATGCCCATTAATAATATTTTTTTAAGTAAGCACATAAAACTTTAGTTGAAACAGAAGCTTCATTCATCTGGTCAAAATGAGTATGCTTACTCCTGCCAAAATTATAATGCAACAGATTTCTGATTGTATATCTGTGGCGGAAGATACACACGTACGAACATATATATGAAGTAATTTAAAACAGAAAAAAACATTTCGAGAGTATACAATTATATTCTTAGTTTCCGCACCTGCTCTTTTTGATATAATCAAGTGCTTTTACAGATCTAACCAAGTTGGATATTAGGGTAAACTCTGTACTGGGAACTAAATAGCTTCGGCTGACCCACCAAGTGTCTTCTGGAGCCTGGTTCGAGCTCCAGCCAAGCTGGTAGAGCTAGATGTTCAGAGAACTTTCAGAACAGGTACAGAAAAGGCAAGCTCTGTTACTGACCGGATCTGCGAGGCCTCCACTGGCAGTGAGACGCTGGTGGGCATGCTGAGGTTCCCCTGGGGGACAGCAGGGGGGATGGGTTTTTGGGGTCGACGAGGTCCACGCCTTCTCTTCTTCTTGTGTTTTTTGGTAAGTGCAGGAGGCTTGGTTTTTTTCCTGGGTTTCCTCTGCTGCTGGTGCTGAACTTTACGGGAGCTATCTCCTCTCAAGAAATTATCCTTTGGAATGAATAAATGAGTGTTTTAACTGATTTTTTTTTAAAAAAAATATGATTCTAACAGGTATTTAAATATAATTCTCTAATTGTTGGTTTACAATATTCTGGAGGTTTAAAGTTTCACTTCACACCTTTATAGCATTTTCACCACTAACACCACCTAAGTTCCAATGCCATTCCACAACCAACAAGACCCCTCTACTTACTCCTTCCATGGCCAACACCCACTCCTCCTCCTAACTCTTTTCCCATAGTTTTGACTTCAGTCTAGGAGTTAATTTCATTGCCAGTTAACCTGCTTTAGTTGTTCAGATTTCTCATTTAAGCAAAACCACCTGGCAATTATCCTTTCGGTCTCTCTCTCTCTGGTGGTGCTCGGGAGCAAACCCAGAGCATCACACAGACAAGGTATTCATTCTATACTGAGCTACATCCAATGCCTAAAATTTACCTCTTCATATCCTACATAATGCACAAAAATACTATGTTCTAAATATATATGTAGCACTGTAGCACTGTCATGCCGTTGTTCATCAACTTGCTCAAGTGGGCACCAGTAACGTCTCCATTTGTCCCAGCCCTAAGATTTTAGCAGCCTCTCCTCTCATCCTTCCCAACTCTGCCGTATTGGAGGCTCTTTCAGGGTCAGGGGAATTAGACTCATTATAGTTACTGTTTTTGGCACATCGAATACGTGCAGGTAGCTACCAAGACTATCCCACCCGCACGGCAGAGCCTGGCATGCCACTCATGGCGTAAGTACATATACGCAACAATAACTAAATGAACAAATATTCACTTCAATTTGAAAGAGTTAATGTCACATAATTAATAACCCACCTTTGAAGACATGGGTGGTGAAAGTTTAAGAAAATTTTAACTTGAGCTCTCAAAGTACTCTTCTCTGAGAAAAATGTGAGAATATATGGAGTAAAGGAAAATTGGGCAATCATGATACAAACACTCTCTGTGTTTACCCATGCACAATCAATTATTTTGTTTTGTGGGATTAAAAGATAAGTAGCATTCTAAATGATTGGGATAAAGGGGATAATCACTCTAGGCTAAAAGAAATTGCACAAACAAGACAAAAATTAAGCATGATTGAATCTTTTGTTTAATAGGGAATAAATACAAAAGTTAGCTACAAAGATGTTCGAGACCAGATCACATATGACTGTAACTATCCCATACAGGATCTTAAATTTTATTTTATGGGCAATGGGAAAAGCTTTTTGATGAGAGAAGTACCACAAAAAAATGTTTTAAAAGGATTAAGTACCTTGGGTAGCAATGCTAACAGATAAATGGTAAGTGGAGGCAGTAAAACATAGGCCATTTCAACAGTCAATACTAGATAAATGACTTACAGGCAAAGACAGTAGGAATGAAAGAGCAAAGGCCTATTGAGATAGAAATATCAAGATTTGATAGCCATTTGAATGTTGTGAGGTGAAAGGAATATAAAACTCTAGGGTTTCTCATTTGGGTGATTAATAGATGATGATACCATTAGTCAGAATAAAGAACAACATCAGAATAAAATAGATTTAAAAGAAAAGTTAATGAATGAGGGTGGCTTACATAGTGTTCAAAGTATGAAAGTGTCTGGAGAGAACTGTTTTGGCCACAGGAATAAAAAAGAAGGATAAAGACAGAGGTTTGGAAATCACAACACAGTGAAATTCCTTCCAGTAATTTATAGGGGCTGGAAAGATAAGGCAAAAAGACTATGGGGAAAAAGAGAAAACAAATTTATAAAAACTGCTCCAATAGTCTGAACAGGTAAAGGAAGAAGGACAGTAAGGAACAGGAAATACCCTTAGCTTTCTTCAGGCAGTATCTTTAAATCTGAATGCAGTGTTTCCTAACTCCAGATGCATGTTTTAATATCTATGCAACTGTGGAGATTAAAAATGATGGTGGACATAAGACAGTCATTGTAATTGGCACTGCTTACACTTGCTAAAAATTGGTCGTAGATCTCTGAACAGGTACTGTCTCAATTAAGGTATGTGCACCGTTGGGATTACATTGGGAAGAAAAACTCGTATGTGTACAAAAAGGCACATGAGAAGTGGAGCATAAAATTGATATTAGTGAAGCAAATATTCATTATTGAAGATCTGACTGCAATTCCTTTTTTCTCCCCAATTACACAGCAACACTAGAAAGGAAAATAACCACAAAGAAAGGAAAATAACCACAAAGCAGATAAAACTGTATTCTAGCTTAAATTCTCAGAAAATATTACCTGGAGGTGCATGAAACAAAGTGCTTCTTACAAATGATGTTGCCTTTACTTTGAAAGATTCAGTTAATAACCCTGACCTAAATACATTTCTATATAACATAGTCCTATATATGTGTGTGTGTGTATATGTACACACACACACATATATACATATATGTCATATAGAAATGTATTTAGTTAAGAGTTGTTAGCTGAATCTTTATAGATATACCTTGAGCACTGTACTGGGATCTCAACCTTATGCTATTAAGTCCTGATCTGTAGGCTATTCTTTTACTCTGACACATGCCTGGAATTATTAAATGTTAATAAGGGGTAAACATTGTCTTACTTGCTGTTTTTGGCACTTACGGTCTGCAGCACAATAAGAGACAAATAGTAGAATGACTCAGTGTCTGAGATGTGAAAACAATAAAAACACATTTATTCTAAATATTTATTTTTTTACTTATCAGAGCTAGGGCTGGAGTGATAGCACAGTGGGTAGGGCGTTTGCCTTGCAAGAGGCCAACATGGCCGACCCGAGTTCGATTCCTCCGCCCCTCTCGGAGAGCCCGGCAAGCTACCGAGAGTACCTTGTCCGCATGGCAAAGCCTGGCAAGCTACCTGTGACGGATTCGATATGCTAAACACAGTAACAACAAGTCTCAAAAAAATGGAGACGTTACTGGGCCCGATGAAAGCAAAATCGATGAACAATGGGAGGAAAGCGGCAGTGACAGTGACTTATCAGAGCTGCAGATCAAACTCAGAGTCCCATACATGTAAAACCTGAGCCTTAATCACTACATTCCTGAACAGAAACACTTATTTCTTTTTTTCACTAGAGGCCTACTCAGTGGTACCCAGGGAACATTACAGGGCTACATCCAGCAGTAATGCGGGGTGGGAAGGGGTGTGACGAGGGTGTGCTGTGTATAGGACTGAACTTGGGGCCCTGAATATGTGAAGTATATACTTCACACCTCTGTGTTATATTCCCAGCCCCCAAAATGCACCGATTTAAAATGACTTTAAGACACACAGTGCCAAGAGGCACATGAAATGATATTTATAATCTCTCATTGGTCACTGTCACTGTTCTCCTGTTGGTCATTGATTTGCTCGAGCGTGCCCAGTAACATTGTGAGACTTGTTACTGTGTTTGGCATATTGAATACGTCACAGATAGCTTGCCAGGCTTTGCCGTGCGGGCGAGATACTCTCGGTAGCTTGCTGGGCCCTCTGAGTAGTATTTGTATTTAGTATTTGTAGTATTTGGCTTTAATTAACCCTCTATTAATTAAAGCCATTCAACTGCTTAACACATACACTGAGTATTCTGATGCTACATATACTGTGTAAGTTTTATTTTCCAAACAATGATAGCACAGCGGTAGGGTGTTTGCTTTGTGCGCAGCCAGCCCGTCTAAGCCAGGTTTGATTCCTCCGCTCCTCTCAGAGAGCTCGGCAAGCTACTGAGAGTATCTCACCCGCACAGCAAAGCCTGGCAAGCTACCCGTGACGTATTCAATATGCCAAACACAGTAACAAGTCTTCAAATGGAGATGTTACTGGACCTGCTCGAGCAAATCGATGAATCTCTCATTAGTAAGTAAAATCAAATCAAAACTATAATATAGTACCTAAAACCAGTGAGAATGACTATTATCAAAAAGAAATAACAAGTATTGGTGATGCTATAGAGAGAGCTCTCACACTATTAATGGGGATGTAAAAGAGTGTAGTCTCTGTGGAAAACAGCATGCAGAGTCTTCAAAATATTAAGTCCAGAAATCTATGACCCAGCTATTCCACTGCTGGGTATTCTTCTTCATTCAAAGAAGAAGCAAACAGTAATTCAAAGAGGTACATGCACTCCTATGTTCATTTCAGTATTATAATTGCCAAGTTCTGGAAACAAACGAATTGATTGCCGAGGGGTGAGTGAATAAAGAAGACGTGATGTACTGAAAAACAGTACTACGTAGCTTTTTAAAAAGCAAAATCTTGTTATTTGTGAGAACATGAATGGGACTTCAGGGTATCATAGTAAGTGAATAACACAATAAAGAAAGACAAATATTTTATTTTACTCATGTAGGATGATAAAGAAACAAAATGGACACACAAAAAGTCTTGGACGTAAGAACAGAACAGTGGTTATAATAAGGGAAGGGGTATTAGGGTGGGAAAATTGGGTTAAAGGGATCCAATGCCTGCAGAATGATAGATACTAGACTTTGGTTTGGGTTTTTGGGTCATACTTGGTGGGGTTTGGAGGCTACTCCCGGAAGTTCTTGGGGGAATGATATGGTATGTCCAACCCGGGACTCTCCCATGAGAAGCATGTGCTTAACCTGTTGATCTCTCTGGCCCAGAAACTAGACTTTTAATCATGATCATAACAGTATCTAGATAAGTTAAATTATAACGCTGCATACCTGACTGCAGCATATAATGCTAAAAAAGCAAACACCCAATGTTACTTCAATAAAAATTATCAAAAACAAATAAAGGGTTGGGGAGAGAGAGTTCAAAGAGCTGGAGCACATGTCTTATATACACTAGGCCAGGAGTTCAACCCCTGGCACCACATGGTTCCCTGAGCACTGTTGGATCTGGCCCTGGTGGTCTCCATCATTGCATGGGCCTGAACACTAAACCATTTGGGCCACACAACAGAAACTGGATTATCATCTGGGTCCCCTGAGCACTACTTGGGACCCTTGACCTTAGTCCAAACTAAATTATACTAGTTCAGTCTTCTCTCTGCTCCAAATTATTCTAAATTAACCAGAACTTATAATATTAGAGCAACTATCAACTAAGCAATAATAAAACTCAACAGAATTAAAATAAGTTTTAGCTGCTGGCCAAAAGCTTATGAAATATTCAAGATACACACAGAATTTTATTAAGACATAAAAAAAACCTAGAAAAATGAAAGCAAAGAAAGAGGTGGGTAAATCTGCTTCGTGTAAGAGAGCCTATCTTTTGAAGAAATCAGGTATAGAATAGGATAGATGATTAACAAAATGTCCAAATTTAGCTAATAAAATATCTTCTAGGACAACATTTATTTAAAACATGAGAATACAAAGCCACGCCAACCTTCTGTTTAGTGAAATACAACAGATCGATAGATACTAGTTTTCTAAACTTGTTTCAGTGATGGACAGACACCTAGATGACATGGCCACAAAATACTGCCCAGTGACCCTCGCTACGTCTAGTACAGAGAACAGGTTCTGAACTTACCATTTTTTTGGCATGTTCTTCACACAGAGGGGTCTGGTGTGTAATGTCAAACACCGGCACAGAGCATTGCTGTCCATCTGCAAACCTGGCCGTGCAACTGGAGAAGAGCTGCTGAGAGCGGTTCAAGAGGATATCTGTTCATTTTTTAAGTTAGGGATAAAATACACTGAGCATTCTATTTAATTTTCATATATATATATAGAGAGAGAGAGAGAGAGCGAGCGAGTTCGCTTCTCCCCTCACCTGTATTGTGTAAGTTGTATTATCCATTAAGGCTGAAGTGCCAAACCAATTACTGATATGGGGGCACAGTAATAAGTGGATCTGTCCACTAAGCCCTGAGCACTGCCAGGGATGATCCAAAAAACAAACAAAAATAAATAAATAAATAAATAAATACAAACTTCATTATTAAAATTGGGCTCGAGCAATAGCACAGCGGGTAGGGCATTTGCCTTGCAAGCGGCCAAAATGGCCAACCCGAGTTCAATTCCTCCGCCCCTCTCAGAGAGCCTGGCAAGCGACCAAGAGCATCTCGCCCACACAGCAAAGCCTGGCAAGCTACCCGTGGCGTATCTGATATGCCAAACACAGTAACAACAAGTCTCACGAAGGAGACATTACTGGGCCCGCTCGAGCAAACCGATGAACAACGGGAGGACACTTCCAGTATTAAAACTGGAACATCAATCAAGAACAGGGGTGTAGCTCAGTGGGAGAGCATTTTCCCTGCACAGGGAGGCTCTAGACCAAAAAAAAAGGGGGGGGGGGTGAATATGAGCCTTATGTCACCCTCACCCACATTTTCAGGCACCCATAGTCTCAACCACTAAGTATCTTAGCCTCTGAGCACTGTGAGGTATTTGGTTCAAAAACAAACAAAAAAGACAAGAACAAAACACAGGAACCATGGAGAGAGCTCAAAGAGAACGAGAGCCAGGAGACAGTATAATGGGGAGAGCCTTTGCTTTGCACGTGGCTGACCCAGGTTCAATCCCTGGTACCACATTTGGTCCCCCAAGCCAGGCCAGGACTGATCCCTGAGTGAAGAGCTGGTAATAAGCCTTGAGCACCATCAGGTGTGGCCCCCAAACCAAGCAAACAAAGAGAAATGAGAGAGAGAGAGAGAGAGAGAGAGAGAGAGAGAGAGAGAGAGAGAGAGAGAGAGGGAGGAGGGAGAAAGGGAAGGGAGAGAGGGAGAGGGAGAGAGAGAGAAAGAGAATGAAAGAATGTAACGTCCAGCAGGTGCTCCATACTTCCTCAATGAGCACTCAATTTAGGTAAGAGGATACGTTGGAAACAATGTCTGGTGAACGGCAGGGCCTTGTTAGTGCACTGTTCGCCCTTCCCTGTTCCACTGCACGCTGCTGGTTCCACCTCCCTCAACTTGGTCCGGCTTATGCTAAAAGAAAGGAGAAAATACAGTTAATTTTAAGTAAATGCTCTAAAAAGGCAGGGCAATTTTTCAACATATTACTATAATGTAACAACAATGTTCTACCTATATATAATCACAAAATAAAATGGAATGTGAGAGGCTGGAGAGAGAAGTACAGTGGGTCAAGCACTTGCCTTGCAAGCGGCCAACTGGGGTTCGATCCCCAGCACCCTATATGGTCTCCAGAATACACTAGGAACAATTCCTGAGTGCAGAGCCATTAGTAGGCTCTGAACACTGCCGGGGTGGCCCCTAAACAAAAAATGGAATGGAATTATAAGCCCCACTTCAAGTACTAACCTGGCTACTAACAAAATTAAAAACTATTACAGTAAGAGGTTCTGACTTCTGATTTTGCTTTTGTGGGTCACATCCGATGGTGCTCAGGGCTTACTCCTGTTCTGTGCTCATGGATCACTCCTGGTGGCCTCAGGGGACAATATGGGGTACTGCCAGTGATTGAAACGAGATGGAAGCATCTAAGGCATGGGCCCTACATGCTGTTCTATAGCTCTGGCGTCATGATCTTGGTTTTGATTATATTTACATTGTCAGAGATCTACATCTTTTGCTTGCTTGGGTTTTCTTGGAAAGGGGGTCTATTAGGATACAGTCAGTGGTGCTCAGGGGCTATTCCTGGCTCAGGAGTGACCCCTGATGGTACTCAGGAAACCATATGCAGTGCCAGAGATTCAAACCAGGATTGGTGGGATGCAAGGTAAGCCCCTTAACCCCTATGCTATCTCTCCAGTCCTAACCTGTTTTTGTTTTTGTTTTTTCCTTTTTGGGCCACATGCGGCAATGCACAGGGATTACTCCTGGCCCTGCACTCAGGAATTACCCCTGGCAGTGCTCAGGGGACCATATAGGATGCTGGGAATCGAACCCCGGTTGGCCACATGCAAGGCAAATGCCCTACCCACTGTGCTTTCGCTCCAGTCCCGTAACCTGTTGTTTTCTAAGTGATATTTTGGACCCTTCTCTTTCACAGTGATGCAGTAGAGAAAGTAATGAGTCTAGCTCAGAGAGATATGGCTATGAATCTTGGCTCTATCTTTAACTTAATACTTAAGACCAGCTGAAGAGTCAGTTTCCTCACCAGTAACATGGAGATAGCAGAACAGTACCTGGGGGTATATGCAGGGCCAGGAATCAAACTCATGGACTCCAGCCCTTTGAATTGTTTTCCCAGACCATCATAATTTTTTTTTAATCACTGAAGGGTGATTTGAAAACTTTCTAAAGAAGCATAATTCTATTAAAAATCATACACACAAATTTCTATTTCTAAAGACACAACACCAAATTGTGTACTGCCCCACACTTAGTAGTATAGTTTCTTACATCTTTTACAAAAACATAACAACATGGTATACTCAATGTACACAATGTACACAATGCTTCAGGTGGACAGAACTAAAGCTTCAACTGAAATCATGCACTTCAAAGCATAATAGCCGTGGATGTAGCTCAGGATTCAGTACATGCGTCACGGGCGTGAGCCCTCGGGTTCAATCCCAACAACTGCAAAAATGTAAATAAAAGAACCAGAAAGTAGGATCTAGTTTAAATATTAGAGAGCACTGTTTCAAAGTCTGTGTTTTAAAGCCTATGTCAAACTGAGTGAATTCTTTCAACAGGTTGAGGACAGACCTTCAATTATTTCATTCTATCGAATTATTTAACAACACTGGAGATTTAAAAACAAACTACACACTGTTCCTGCCCTCAGAGAAATTACTGTCTAGCGTGAAAGGCAGACATTATAATAAAGATAAGACTCTCCAATGAAGCTGAGTCCACAGCACAATAAGCTCATAGAACTGGGCTATCTGCCACTGTCTCTCAGTCCCCGAGTAAGAAAGCTGTGACCTCCAGGCTGCCCTGCAACAGACACTGCCCCCTCCTGAGGAAAGGTGCCAGGCTCCCAAGCTGAGCCCGGTCACTGCAGGCTTTTGCCACAGCATACAGTACAGCAGATGAACAGTTTCACACACACCCTAAATATGCCCCAAAGGAGAACGTTTGTTTGTTTTGAGATACCAAGTTGAAAATCAGGGATTTTTTTTTTTCCTGGCTTTTGAGCTACACCACGGTGATGTCCGGGGACTATGTCCTGCAGTGTTGGGGAATCATGCAGTGTTGATCACCTCAGGTCTCCAGCCCTACTTTAACCTGTGAATCATTTCCCTGGTCATAAGTGACTTTCTTTTTCGGGGTGGGGGCACAGTTGTGTTCAGGAGCTACTCCTGTCTCGGTGCTCAGCAGTCACCACAGGCTTCGTGCTTGAGGTACCATGTGCTTCCAGGAATCAAATTGGGATTGATTGCATGTAAGGCGAGTGCCTAAACCTCTGCATTATCCGGCCCAAATGTTTTGCTTTCTGTTTTTTTTTTTTCTTTTTTTTTTTTAAGATGGGGGACAGCGGTGGTGGTAAGAGCAGGTAGGGTAAGGGTACTTGGGCTCTACTGGGCAGTGCTCAGGGTTTACTCCTGGCTCTGGGTTTAGGGGTCACTCCTGGTGGTGCTTGTGGGCCATATGTGGTGCTAGGATTGAACTGAGGTCTGCTATGTGCATGGCAAATGCCCTACCCACTGTACTACTACTCCAGCCTAGTTACTTTCTTATAGGAAATATAATAAAAACTAAGTAAACAGAATTAAAATGAAATTTTAAAAAATAACATACGAAATATGATTAATAACCTCCAAGCACAAGTTTATTTTTTACTTATGTTTTGTTTAAACTCCTTTTTCCTCAAGTGACTCAGTTTATCATAAAAAGTTAGAATTACAGGTTGGAGAGACAGTACAGCAGGTAAGCTGTTTGCCTTAAATGCGACTGACCCAGGTTCGGTTCTCAGCGCCCCAAATTTTCACTCAAGCACCACCAGGAGTGATCCCTGAGTGCAGAGCCAGGAGTAACCCCTGAGCATAGCTGGGTATGACCCCAAAACAAACAAATAAAAACATTAGATTTAGACAGACAATTATTTTAACTTTTGGGGGTTTTTTTTGGTGTTGAGGATTGAACCCAAAGCCTTACATGAAGGTGAGTGTTGTACTGCTGAGCTACAATCCCAACCCCCTTATTCTGACTTTTAATTTACCATTAATTCCAGTGTCTAAAGATACCACTGCTAATATTTAGGAGTATAAACTTCTCACACACAAATATATAAATACACTCACACTTAAGGTTGTCATTTAAAAAAATATAAGCAAAAAAAATAAAACAAACTCACGGTCCTCCCGTTGTTCACCGATTTGCTCGAGCGGGCCCAGTAACGTCTCCATTGGAGACTTTGTTGTTACTGTGTTTGGCATATCGAATACGTCACGTGGAGCTTGCCAGGCTCTGCCATGCGGGCGAGATACTCTTGGTAGCTTGCCAGGCTCTCCGAGAGGGGCAGAGGAATTGAACTCGGGTCGGCCATGTTGGCCGCTTGTAAGGCAAATGCCCTACCACTATGCTATTGCTCCAGCCCAAAAACAAACTCAATGTAGAACTAAGCCTTTTAAACTATTTTCTTGGAGAGAAAGTAGAGCAGGTCAGACATGTATCTTGCACACAGCTGACCCTGGTTCAACCCCAGCGCCACATGCAACCCCATGAGCCCTGTCAGGTTGGCCCCTGAGGAGAGCCAGGGATCACTGTCTCAGGGGATGGTCCAAAACCAGGAAGTCTTCTTAGTTGAAAAGAGATGTTTTAAAAACGTTTTATTCAATTTAAAGCTTTAATTATATGGTTTAGTTCGAGCTAAATGGTAATTGCAACTGCTTAAAAACATATGTAACAGAATTCCATGTGATTTAGCTTAGAGAATATAATTACATTTTGAAATAATTTCAAAAGATACCTAGTCTAATTAGGATTCTATTTAAATTTTCAACACCTAGATAAACAAACTTCCCAAATGGCAATACATCAGTATTTCTAATCAAAATATCAGACAATATTACAATTTCAATACATGGGTCTTTCACTGAAGAAAACGGGATGAAAAGCAACGGACTTGAGACCAAACAGGCAGTACGAAGGTTAAGGACTTGCCTGGTACGTGGCTGTGACTGCTGCGGCCCTGGTCTGAATTCCTGACTCACTCATGGTTGTCAACCACCCCCCCCCCCCATCCCGGCCCCAGCAGGAGTGATCCCCGAGCACAGGGCCAGCCATACCCTGAGCACCACAGGCTGTGGCCCCCAAACAAACAAACAAACAAAATGACGAATTATGTTTTAAAATCATTCTTTGAGAACATAAATGTCTCTCTCTCTCTCTCTCTCTCTCTCTCTCTCTCACACACACACACACACACACATTGGAGAGGGGGACAGAAGTGTATATATACAGATATATCTCTACACATATTATTTATTTTTCATTTATAGATAAATGTGTTTTGGTTTTGTGCTCAGGGTTTATGCCTGGCATTGCTTGGGGGACCATATGTGTGGTGTTAGGGATTGAATCCAGAATCCAGGTTGGGCACATGCAAGGCGAGTGCCTTACCCAACTGTACTGTCTCTCTGGTACCAGCTATGATATTTTTAAAGGGGGGAAAACTAATCGACATAAACTGGCAAAATGAAAGTGACAGACTGTTGAAAATACAGTAGTCTCTGAGGGAAGGGGCCGGGGCTAGAGTGAAGGGCAGAGGGGTCATTTTGAAGTCCAGTGGAACCCCAACTTAGTGGTGGGTGCTGTGAGTCTTATAGACCTAGAACTGTGCAGTTGTACTCCTGATATTTTATAGTACTATAAGCCAAATAAAATTTGACGAAAAAGAAAATAGATATAACTTAAATAGTATAGCTCAAGCTTTACCTAAATACATATATAAAATAGAAAAAATCTTAAACCATCCTCTCTAGTATGAAGTCCATCAAAGAATTAATGTGAGAATATGGCCATAATTCAATGTTAAATGAAATTAAACAGAAAATTTTTAAAATACATATAACATGATCTCAAGGTTTTGTTGTTGTTGTTGTTGTTGTTGTTGTTGTTGTTGTTTTGGAATCACACAGCTTACTCCTGTCAGGGCTTGGGGGAACCAGATGTGGTACTAAGGATTCAAATCAAGGTTGGCAACATGCAAGGCAGGTGATTTAACCCCTAGACTCTCTCTCTCTGGCCCTCCAGTTGTTTGTTTTTAATACAAACCATGGTGCACTGAAGATTTAGGCACATCAACACACACCCCACAAGAAAAGGACCAGAATCAAAACGTTCATAGTTCTTGTTTTGTCTTGGTACCTGTTGTTCATCGATTGCCTTGAGCAGGCACCAGTAACATCTACTTCGTCCTAGCCCTGAGATTTTAAAAAGTGCCATATTCAAGACTCTTTCAGGTTTAGGAGACCCATCATTGTTACTGGTATTTGGCATATTGGGTACACCATGGGGAGTTTGCCAGACTCTGCCATGTGGGCAGGCTACATTCGGTAGCCTGCCAGGTTGTCCAAAGTAAGAATGAGATAATAATATTTTTTTGGTACCATCATATTAAAATTTCACCACTTCTTTATTTTTCTAAATTTTGCACGACAAACAAGTATCTGTATTATATGAACACAGAATTTCCTTTCTCCCCTGAAATACCTCAATGCGACAAAATACTTTGTACATGTAATAGGTAGGATGATGTAAGCATTAATATAAAATGTACTAGCAAGCAAAGTGACTTATTTATTTGGTTTTTGAGTCATATCTGGCAGTGCTGAGGGCTAACTCCTGGCTCTGTGTTCAGGGATCACTCCTGACAGGGCTCAGGGGACTATTTGGGGAAGTGGGGGTTGAATCTGTGTTGGTCACTTGCAAGGGAAGCTCCCTGCCCACTGTCCTGTCTCTTCAGACACCTAGAAAGAAAAAGTTTTTAATACTAAAAAAAATAGAAAAGACTATTTTTTAGTTAAAAATATATGTCAACTTTTAGAGGCCTGAGAAATCGTTCAACGATCTGAGAACGAACTTTGCATGAGGGAGGCCTGGGTTTGATCCCCAGCACCACACATCACCCCGGGCACTGTACGAAGGGACCTGTGAGCAGAGTCGGGAGTAATTCATGTGCACTGCTGGAGTGAGGCTCCCAAACAAATCAAAACAAAAAATGTCGTGCTTATAAATTTGTTATTTGGGGCTAAAGAGTTGATATGATGGGAGATGCATGCTGAAAGTAGTCTATAGACAGAAAATGATTGCCACCCAATGTCTCTTCTGCAGACCACAGCACCCAAAAGGAGAGATAGAACAAAAGGGAGTGCCCTGCCACAGAGGCAGGGTGGAATGGGGAATGGGGGGTGGGAGGGATACTGGGATTGGTGGGGGTGGAGAATGGGAACTGGTGGTGGGATGGGTACTTGATCATTGTATAACCGAAACCCAAGCACAACAACTTGTAAGTCTACAACTGTACCTCATGGTGTTTCACTAATAAAAAAAAAGCATATGTAGATTACACATCAAAAAAAAATAGAGTTGATATAGCAGGCAAGATACTTGCCTTGCAAGGAGCCAACTGGTGTTTGATCTCCAGCACCCCAAATGGTCCACCATGCCCACCAGAAGTGATCCCTGAGCTGAGCCAGGAGTAAGTCCTGAGCACTGCTGGCTGAGATGCCTGAGTGATCCCTGTACTACAGCTCTCTGAGCTATCTCTCATCCTCAGCATGGTCTTGTTCAAAGACAGACAACACTGTCAAATCTTCATTGAATAAGTATTCATCAAATTTAAAACAGAAAGCAGTATTAGTATTAGCAAAATGAGAATATCTTAATTTTACCATCAGTTCGTGGGTTTTGTTTTTTTTTTGGCTACTGTTACAGAACTTCACCTAACAAAAGCAAACTAAAATGCACTGTCCACTGTGTCTCAACTATCCTCTTAAAAAAACGGCAGAAGGAGGTGGAGAGAGGGTCTTGTGAAAAGCCGGCGGCAGGGGACTCTCACCTGGTTTGACTGCATGCAGCCCTCTGCAGTTCTTGTATCAGCTGCCCGGCACACTCAGGCTCCCTACTGGCCGCCTGCAGCAACGCTTTCCGAAATGTGTGCCGGCATTTCTTTTGACGAGATTCTGCCCGCTCCAGGCGGCAGAGGTGCTTATATTTCTGCTGAAAGTAAGTGCAAAGTTGGGTCACCCTGGAGCTCCTACTCTCTGTATCGTCATCATCTGACCTGGAAATACAAGGAGAGAAGTGAAACACTTCTTACAATTCAGGATCACTTTGGAAAGGGAAAAGTGGGCAAGGGAGGGTGGCGGCGGCAATGTGAGCACACACTTCGGCAAAATTAAAGATAGCGAATTCCAATGGCATGAAAAACCCAATATTTCAATAAGTAAGGCGAAAGACACAATTTAGCCTTTTTTTTTTAAAAGTAGTTTTCTTTATTGAGTGACACAAAGCACTGTAGCAGTGTCCTCCCGTTGTTCATCGATTTGTTCGAGCGGGCCCAGTAACGTCTCCATTGTGAGACTTCTTGTTACTGTGTTTGGCATATTGAATACGTCACGGGGAGCTTGCCAGGCTTTGCGATGCGGGCAAGATACTCTCGGTAGCTTGCCGGGCTCTCCGAGAGGGGCGGAGGAATCGAACTCGGGTCGGCCATGTTGGCCACTTGCAAGGCAAACGCCCTACCTGCTGTGCTATTGCTCCAGCCCACAATTTAACCTTTTTGAAAAAAAAGAAGCAGCAGCTTAACCTTAGCCAGTCATAATCAGACACAGAATGTATCAGTGTCTTCTACATTTTGAGTGACACGGGATTCTTGGGGAGTATATAGTTTCTTTACCTTTCCTTACAAAAATGTCTGTGCAAATGACATGGCAGTTATGCGGAGACTCTCGACATAATTTCATAAAAGATAGATCCGACTGATCTATTTTTGGTATGACCTACAGAGAGGGTTATTGAAGGGCTGACTTTCAGATGCACTGGTTTCCAAGGTCTCACCACTTTGACTGTAGACATCACGTTCGTGCTACAGCATGTTATCTTTTATAATGACATGAAATATCCTATATAGTATATCTTGTGTATCTTGTGTATATGTATATAGGAACTTGAGTTTTGTTACTACGATGCACAATGGGGAGGGCCCATTGAGGATCAACAAGAAAATGCTAGCAGTGCAGTTCTACAAGGCACTTTTGTATGAATCAACTGGGATTTCACTTTTCACTGTGAGGACTAGTTTTTAGTCTCCCTGAAAACAGACCTGTGTTATTTTACTTTCTTTCTCTTCTATCTTAAGTAAACGGCACCCATGTGCCATTACAGAAGACAGGTACTCTTCTGCAGATTGTTGCTTGGTTTTTCTTGCTCAAGTGTTTCTATCAGAATAGCCCAAGTGTTTTTTATAGTGGACTCTGAAAGTTTCTATTTGGCATCTGTCCCAAGCAATGGATTCTTTTCAAGATAGCTTCTACTAACTTAAAATCCTTTACTGAAGCTTCTTTCAGTTTTCACTTATTCAACATTCATCATTTACTCTGTCTACGTTGCCAATTACTATTAGAGGAGAAGCAAATGTTTCAAGGAGTTTGGAATTAAATTTAGACAAGATACACGTATGACAAGAATCAAGTAATTCTAAGAGGACAGCAGACCTCCTTGTGGAAATAATGCAAAAAAGATATTGATTGAGAAATAAAAGAGGAAGACCAGGAAAAGGGCGATTAAGAGGATGCCTGGGTGGAGATGTGATATTAGAACACTGTATGCTTGAAATCCTATCCAAAATTAACAATATTGTAAATCATGGTGCCTAACATAAAGTTTAAAAATTTTTAAAAAATTGATGATCAGAGAGAGAAAGGAATGCAGCCAACCCCTGTTCCATCCCAACCCCCGGTCCATCCCTAGCACCCAGATGGTCCCTTGAACACTCCCAGGAGGGATCCCTCAGTCAAGAGTAAGTCCTGAGAACTGCCAGGAGTGTCTCCTTCACCCCCCCCCCCATTAAAAAAAAAGAAGGGAAAAAAAAACCCAAAACCCTAAAACAAAGGGTTTAATGTCAGCATAAGTAAGTATCTTTTTTTAAAAAAAAAATGAAGGCATGAGTCATGAGGGGCGATAATACAGAGGAGGATAGGCACTTGCCTTGCATGCGGCTGACCCAGGTTCTATCACAGGCACCCTAGATGGTCCCCCGAGTCCCACTGGGAGTGATCCATGAGCACAGAACCAGGAATAAGCCTAGACATTGCCGGTTGTGGCTGTGGCCAAAACCCAAGCAAACAAACAAACCAAAAAACCCACACAAATTAAAATGAAGGCATGGGTCCGGGCCAGAGAGATACTATAGAATAAAGGTTTCTATAGTTCCTTACATGTGGCCAACTGTCATTCAAATCCCCAGCACCACCACATGATCCCCTGAGCACTGGTAGGGGTTCAACTCCTAAATACAGAGCCTATAAATGGCCCACTAGTGCTACCAGGCATGGCCCAAATCCTGCCACCTCCTCTTAAAAACACAAAAAAAATGAGAGCATGGCTGAAGAGACAGATCAACAGGATCTGAACAATCCAAACAAGAGATGGCCAGAGTAGACCCAACTATGAGCTGCCATTAAAAAAAAATACAAAAAAAAACTCCTCACTTTAAGATAGAAATAGGTTAAATGTGAAATGACTGAAAAAAATCAAGTTAACAGAAATCAAAAGAAAGCTGGAGCAGAATCTGAGAACTGATCTACAGAACTACAGAAATGGGGGTCGTGGTGGGGGCAGGGGCCCAGGAGAGAGGGGTGAGGGGACCCTCTGGTGGAGGTGCTGCAGGAGCACTGCAAGCTTGAAACACTATCGTGAACATAACTGTCTAAAAGTTTAAAAGTTGTCTAAAAGTTTACAAATTAAAAGTAAATCAAAATGCATTCTGCAGTTTCTTTTCAAAAAAGCGGAGGTGTCTGTATTAATGTCACATAAAATAAGGTGTTAGAGCAAATACTATTGCTGAGATAGTGATTTTTAATGAACATTTTATTAATAGAACAATATTAAATGTTTATGCATTTAATAACTAGAAAGTGTCTGACGTTAAATAGACAGGACTAAAAAGAAAAATCTACAAGCAGTGATTTCAGTATTGTCTTCTAGATAACTGATAGGACAAGCAGAACAATCAAAAAAGACACAGAAGACTTGAAAAACACTATTAACTTGATCTAATATATACAGAACAGGATAAAATTTAAATGCTATATGATCACTGTGGACATATTTATTTATATTCCATTTAATTTGGTTTTGGGGCCACACCCAGCTGCTTACTCCTGGGTCTGTTCACTGCTGGAAGGGCTCAGGGGATCACATGTGGTGTGGGAATGAACCCAAATCAGTCTCATGAAAGGCAAGCACACTGTCCGCTGTACTGTATCTCTGGACCCATCACTGTAGATCTAAATTAGAAACCAATCAATACCTGGAAAATCACCAAATATTTGGAAACAAGTATTAAAAATAATTTTTAAGTAACCCACAGAATAATTTCTTAAAAAAATAAGGGGCAAAGACAGTACAGAGGTTAAGGCACTTGCCTGGCATTTAGCCAACCACAGCTAGACCCTTAAACACCACCAGGGGTTATTGCTGATTAACAGCCAGGAATTACCCCTCAGCACCACCGGGTGTGGCCCCAAAACAAAGATTAGGAGCTGAAGAGAGAGAACAGGAGGTAGAACATTTGCCTTGCATGTAGACTACCACAGTTTCATCCCTGACACTGCACATGGTCCCCAAAGCCCCCGGAACACTGCCAGGAATTGCTCCAAAATAAAACAAAGTACAAATTGAAAACACAAAAACATGCCATATCAAAATTGTAAGGTGCAGCTAAACTGATGCTTATAGGGACATGATGTAACAAATATCTATGTTAGAACAGCTTTAACTGGTTTTAAAAAAATCTCAAATTTGGGAGTTAAAAAGAGAATACAGAGGCCAGGGTGTTTACCTTCCAGGTGGCCAACCTGAGTTTGACCCTTAGCATCCCATAAGATCCCCTGAGCACTTCCAGGAGTAATTCCTGAGCACAGAGTCAGAAGTAACCCCTGAGCATTACTGGGAGTAGTCCAAAGACCAAAACAAATAAACAAAAAACACTCAGGTATAACCAGCTTAAGCCATCACCTTAAAAAAAAAAAAACTCTAATAAAAGAACAGGGGACACAGCTCAAAGGGCTAGAGCACATGCTTCAAATTCAGGAAGTAGGATGTGATCCCTGGGAACCACATATAGGTCTCTCAGCACCACCAGGAATTATCCCCGAGCACAGACAGAGCCTGCAGTACTCCCTGAGTACCACCAGGTGTGACACCCCCCCCCCCCCCAAAACAAAAGCAAAACAAAAATAAACAGATTCAAGACAAACTCTAAAGAAATAACAAAAAAATAGAAATTAAAAATAAAATAATGAGAATATATGAAATTAAAAGCTGATTCTTTAAAAAGAAAACTTGGAGGGAGTGGGTCAGAGAGATAATACAGCAGCTAAGGTGTTTGCCTTGCATGCAGCCAACAAAGCTGTTGTTTTGTTATGGGATGTTATGTTGTTTTATATGGGATGCTAGGGGTCCCTAGCATCCCATATAGTCCCCTGAGCACTGCCAGGAGTGGTTCCTGAGCGCAGAGACAGGAGTAAGACCCAAGCATTGCAGAATGTGTCCAAAAGCCCCCAAATGGGAGGGAGGGAGGGAGGGAGGGAGGGAGGGAGGGAGGGAGGGAGGAAGGAAGGAAGGAAGGAAGGAAGGAAGGAAGGAAGGAAGGAAGGAAGGAAGGGGGCTGACTGCATCCTACTGACCCTGGTTCAAATCCCAGGCACAACATATGACCCTTCTGAGCCCCACCAGGAGATAAGTGTGGCCATGAAATAAACAAACAAACAAACAAAAAACCCACAAAAATTAAGAACTTTTTTCTATCAAAGACACCGCTAGAAATTTGAAAAGTTGAGGTGTTCGTGGGAAAAATGACTTTTTTTTCCTTTTCAAATAACTGTTTCTTAGTAATATTTTTAAGATATCAGCTTGTTTCTGCTACTGACACAGGTACAAAAGCCTGAGAGATTCTATGACATGACCATCTATAACTAAAAAAAAAAAAAACCCAAGAAAACTAGCCAAACTTTTTCTCAAATACTTGAAGCACAATCCTAATTGCACAAGAAAACTCATGAACAGATTCTTTGCGGGAAAAACAGTGATCAAAGCATTCTCAACCTCAATTCCTGACCCCGCAAAACCCAATTAACTCACTGAAAAAATGTTAATGAAAAAATCTTCCTGAAGATAAAATGGACAGGTGACATCAGGCCAATTTTCTACAGTTCCCCTTTCTGTGATACTTTTGCACAATAAGTAAGGTACAATAAAGGATAGTCAGGGCTGGAGACTGAATACAGTGGGTAGGGCGCTTCCCTTGCACACAGCAGACCAGGGTTCAATCCCTGGCATCCCACATGGTCCCTTGAGCACTGCCATTAGTGATCCCTGAGAGCAGGAGTAAGCCCTGAGCATTGCCAGGTATGGTTCCCAAACAAAAAACTGCAGGACAGTAAACTGCAAGGAGGAAATGGAATAACGTTGTATTGTTAGCTTAAGAACAGAGAGAGGTTCCAGTACAGTAACAGACACTGGGTGTAGTGCCAAAGGGATGATAAAGCAATTCAATCCCAGCTCCACCCAAATGAAGAAAGAATAAAGTGCTTTATCACTGGTGCATAACAAGAGTTCAATCAGAAAGGATGCCTAAGTGAATAAATGAATGAATGGAGAGAAAATGAAGGGGACAAGATTCAAGTGATAGCTAGGCGATGAGTAATTACTTGTTATTTAAAAAAAAAAAAGGAGAAAAATATACTGATTATATTGACAGGAAAGAAAAACCAGGAAAGCAACCAACCATGGTAGTCAACAAGAAAACAAGTTAGCAAAGTCAAATGGTATGAAGGTGAAAAAAATAAGTGGCCACAATTCTAAATAACAAAACACTTCCTTTGAAACTGGGGGACCGGAGCGATGGCACAGCGGGCAGGGCATTTGCCTTGCATGCGGCCGACCTGGGTTCAATCCCTGGTGTTCCATATGGTCCCCTGAGCACCACCAGGAGTAATTCCTGAGTGCAGAGCCACTGCACTGCCTGAGCATTGCCAGGTGTGATCCCCCCCCCCCCCAAAAAAAAGACACTGGACATAGGAAGCAGAAATGAAATACACATTACTTCTAATCAATAGCAAATTCTCCCAATATAGAGCAGGTTTTCTTAAAAATTAAAATAGGACTCATCACTTATTATTTCCATGTAGCAAGTATTGTGCTGAGCATTTCCTTGTATTAACACATTGAAAATAAATTTGTAAAATTAATCAACAATCTCATTAAGCTGATTGGAGTATCACATTAGGAAGCATGACTGTTAGTACTTACAACTAAAATAGCTTAAGCTCAACTATACTTCCAGCTGAAAGGGGGAAAAAAATGCATCACGATAAAGAAAAATTATTAAATGACAAATAAAGTGGAACTTCAGAGAGAGAACAAATATTATACAGTATGGAAGGGAGAGACAACTATTGAGGAGGTAAATTCCAAAAGAGAAAAGATACACATCATTAGGTCATCATACTTCACTGGCTACAAATCTCACTAATTCTTATTCTAATCTCATTACCAAATAATTTTTTCATTTGCTCAGTGATCATTTGTATTATTTGATGATTCTATTTGTTACTATAAACAGGCATGTTGATTTACACAGTAGACCTGTGAATCAATTTCTAAGCCTAATATGACCCTGAGGAAACAAATAAACCACATTTTAAGGTCTATAAGTGGAAAAACCATACCCTAGAATGTACAATGGTACAAAGAAAGTACTATAAACTTTTAGGAGCCAACCTAGGGCAGAGAGTTAATCTCCCTTCAATTTTACAAAATACTGTTCAAGTCACAATATTGTAAAAGCAGGAATAATTAATTGAGTCTGTCAGTCATCTTTGGGCCCTGAAGAACAAGATCTATCTCAGCACTGTCACACTGCCAGTGTAGAACAGTAGGCAACTGCTTTTTTCAAAAGAGAAAATTAGCTCTCTCACTAACACTGAAGGGGCACTATGCATTAACCTTCTACAGGCCTTAGAAAAGCAATTACATTCCTAAGACGTTCAAAAAAGACTGAAGAAGGCTATAAGTAAACAACTTTCTAAAAGGTAGGTATCAGAACCTTTAATATAATTATTTTTAAAAGCATTTTGGGTGCATTAGGAATATTCAAGAACAGCTCAATCTTGCAGAAGATAGCAATGAAGATAAAACACTATTTCCAGCTGGGAAGGGGCTAGAGAGACATGGAAGGAGCAAACAGTGGGACTCCTCGGAAACCCTGGAGTGACTGATGACAAGATCCTTTATCAACAGGGTTTTCTCTCCTGTTAAAAAAGGAAACTGCATCAAAAGTTTATGGCCCCTTTCAATTCTATTTTTTTTTTTTTTTGGTGCCACACCAATCTGGTGCTCAGGGCTTACTCCTAGTTCTGCACTCAAGGATCTTGCCTGGTGGGCCTTAGGGGGCCATACACGGTGTTAGGGACATGTGCGAGGCAAGTGCCCTACCCGCTGTACTGTCTCTCCGGCTCCTCTATTATAATTGATCCCTTCAGCAATAAATGAGAAAGGTACAAAAACCAAATTCGTCCAGAAAAATGGATTGGAGGAGGTTGAAGGAAATTAAGACTGGGAACCCAGAGGGGTGACTCAGTGTCTTGGAATCTGTATCTGCCAAGCATATGGTCCTGAGTTCCCTGCCCAGTGCCACTGTTAAGTGCCGATCCTGTGACCCTGGTGCCACAGGTGATTTCCAACTGTACTGCAGCTAGGTGTGTGCAAGCACTGCAACTAAAAACGATGCATAAGCACCCCAGCCAGAAAGTTTGAGCCCTGGTGGACACAAATACAAGCACCGCAACACCCCCATGTATGTTAGGACTAAAGAGCGAGCACACCTGGTGAGCACCTCAGCCCCCAGTGTGTCCCCCCAGTAAAGTGAAGAGCTGCAAGTGTGTGCAACTCCCAGTCATCAAAATATCACTACAACAAAGGTAGTGGGGGAAGGGGAAAAAATAACAAAATAGAAAAATAACAAAATACAGAGACGGAGAGAATTTCAAGAGGCTGCACACATGTTTCATAAGCAGGTAGCCTCTGGGTTTGATCTCCAGGACCACACGGTCCCTGGAGCACTGCCAGATGTAGCACTCCCCAAGCAGAGAGTTCGAACACTCTCCTGAGCACCAACAGGGGTGGCCCCAAAATAAAAACCCCAAAATATTAATATTTGGGGCCACAGAGATAGTGTCACAGGAAAGGTGTTTGCCTTGCATGAAGCCAATCCAGGTTTGATCCATGGCACTGATATGAGGCACAGAAGATCCACCAGGAATGATCCCTAAGCACAGAGCCAAGAGTAAGCCCCTGAGTTCAGCCAGGTGTGACCCCAATATTGCCTCCCTCCCTTGAAATTGCTTTGAATATTTATTTTAAAACAATTATTGAAAAGCATGACTTACTAGTACTTCAGACCTTTATACTTTATTTTTTTTAATTAAATACATGTTTGGAAATAAGTCAAGAAACAGAGGAAATGGAGAAAATGTAACCTCATGCACTATTGGTGGAATGGAAATTGGTGTGGCCCCTATGGAGAATAGTTCTGACCCCAGGAAATTAAAAGCCATATTACAGAAACTGTCCAACAGTGCCCAATGACAGGTGGTGCAGATGTGATATATAAACATAACGGAATTATACTCCAGCCATAAAAGACACAATCGTGGGCTGGGGAGATAGCTCAAAGGACTAGAGTGCATGCTTCGCATGGCGGGCCGAGGGTTTGATCCCTGGCACCATATGGTTCCCCATGCAGCACTGAGCAATTCTAAGCACTAAGACAGGAGTAAGCCCTGAACAGAGTCAAGTGTGACCCAACACTCCTTTTCAAAAGACAAACTTTTGCGATTTGTGGCAACATGGAAGACCTTAAGTGAATTAGACTGCATGAAATTAGAAAGAGAAAGGCAAATACCCTGTGGTTCACTCATTTTGGGGAAAAAGGCAACTCTTATCCTCTCTCTCTCTCCTCTCCTCTCTACTGTCTCTCCCCCTCCCTCTCCCTCCCCCCCCAGACACACACACACACACACACACACACAATCAAACCCTTCAATCTAACTAGTTGGATAGTTACCAGAGGGGAAGGGGGAATGTGGGTAGAACCAGTAAGGGAAGCTAACTGGCTGTCCTTGGAGAATGACTGAACATTTGGTGAAGAGTGTGGCATGATACACAGTTGCTGAAGTGAAAAACTATAGAAAACCTATTAACAGTTGCAACTAATGTCACCTTCAATGAAAGAAAAGCAGCTTTCCTAAAAAAATGTACTACATTCCACCTAAATCTATTTCTCCATTTCAGTAATCCTAGGGGAGAGAGAGAGAGGAGAGAGAGCGAGCGAGAGAGAGAGAGAGAGAGAGGGGGGGGGGGGGGAAGACTCACATGTTTCTTTCATATCTGAGCGTTTCTCGGACGGACCACGCAACCTGGTAGGGTGAGGTCTGCTCCGAGTCCTCCAGTTCCTCCCCACTCTCTTCAGACCAGTCCAGCCCTGGGGCAGATCAAGAAGAACACGTGTTAGAAAAATGCACTTTTAGCCAAAATACAGATCAAACGCTACCCAGAATACATAACTCAACGCCTACAGCAAGTCCTCCCACAGGATGGGTAAACACCTCCCTCAGCACTGACTAATGAGTGACTTGATAACAAAACGGATGTATTGTAGGGTGAACTTCATCAGACACTTCATGAATGGATTAGAAACTGCACAAAGAAAACGATAATGCTCCTCTCCCCTCCCCCTCAATACTCCCAAATTTTAGGTCTCAAAACACTGTATGCTAAAGTAATGTCAAAAAAGTATGAAACATGTACGGGCTGGAGAGATGGTACAGTGGGTAGAGCACTCGCCTTCTTGCATGCAGCCAACTAGGCTCAATCCCTGGCATCCCATATATGGTCCCCTATGCTGTGCCAGGAGTAATTCCTGAGTGCAGAGCCAGGAGTAACCCCAGAGCATTGCCAGGTATGGACCACCCCCCCCCCAAAAAAAATAATGAAACATTCAAAGATCATGGAAGGAGGCTAGTAGTTTTCTCTTTGCTCCTACAAGCCAGCAGCCTCTGGCAGTCACTCTGTGCTCCAGGGAAGAGGGCCGGGGGGAGAGCGTGGGGAGGCCTCTCTCCACTCACCAGGCTGCGCCCTCCTGCTGGTCCTCTGGGGAAGAACGAAGGTTAGGAAAGCAATGTTCTGTTCCGAATAGGGCCTGGGGTTTCTTTTAACTATTCTCACCAATAGCTGGCATGTTTTGTGCTCCATCTTGAAAAACAAGTTTGGGGGCCAGGAGGCGGCTCAGAGGGCTGAAGTGCCTGCTTTGCACGCAGGAAGCTCTGCCTTTGATCCCCAGGATCCCTATGGTCCCCCCTCAAGCACCAACCCAGGAGTAAATCCTAGTGCACTACTGGATGTGACCCAAAAGAAAAAAAAAAAGGAAAATAAGTCTGAAGGGGAAAGTAGAGAAATACTCGGGAACAATACTTTTTTTTTTTTCAGTTTCTGCTATAGTTTTAATCATTACATAATTATGAACTACAATACAAAGGCTTTTATTGGGACCTTTTTTTCATTAAAAACTTTTTTATTTTCTAAAGTAGTTCACAATACTTGATTACATTTACTATTCAAGCACCAATCCCACCACCATTACACGTTCCCACCACCATATTTTGGATGCTTCCATCCTGAACCCCAACCCCTGCCCCAAAGCAGCACTGAACTACTTTATTTTGTATTCTTTGTTATGAAAAACCGCTGAAAATGCTACAAAAAAAGATTCCCTAGAGGAAAGATTGTGAAGATTGTTGTATTTTACTCAGGGGCCATTTAAGCCCTTCTATAAGAGATCATTAACATGTAGATAAAGGATGAGCCTTGTGTGTGTTTACCTTATATAAATATATCACTGTCACTCTTCTCTCATTGTTCATAGATTTTGCTTGAGCAGGCACCAGTAACATCTCACAACAAATTGTGAGACTTGTTGGTATTGTTTTTGGCATATTGAATGCGTCATGGGTAGCTTGCCAGGCTTTGCCGTGTGGTGCAGGTGGGGTGAAGGGGTATGACTGAACAGTGGCCAACTTTGTGCAAAGAAACAGTGTGTCTCTCTGTCCCTAATTTAAAAAAAAAATTATGTTTTGGTTTGGAGACCACACTTGGCAGTGATACTCTTGGTAGCTTGCCGGGCTCTTCCAGAGGGGTGAAGGAATTGAACCGGGGTCACCCTAGTCAGCTGCGTGCAAGGCAAGCGCCCTACCTGCTATGCTATCACTCCAGCCTCATACATATATGTATCTGTAAATATATATATTTCTCTCTAAGATTGGTTGTCTCCTACTTTAAACCCCATCAAATGTGGTGCGGCACTCTTGGAGTATGGGTGGTGTGAGGTATGAATTGTCGCGTGCTGCATTTGTGGCTGCAGGGTACAGGAATAGGTTCATTCGTGGGTGAGACTCGGCCCGAGTGTGTAGAAAGTATCTGTGAGCATGGCGGAGGCTAAGTTCTGGAGGTTTCCGGCTGCTGGGGCTGGGTCCCTTGGGGTGGGAAGAGGTCTCACCTGCCATCACCACCGCCCCCCCACCCCCGGGACGCCTGTGTGGCTTTTCTTTTTAAGTCCTTTAAAAAGCTTTCTATCTTCGGGGCCAGGGTAGATAGCTCAGTGGGAGTGCACACACTGTGCAGACAGGAGCTGCAAGTTTGATCCCAGTACCACCCCACATGCTGAGCTGGACCTGTGGCTCCTCCAACACATCTGCCATTCTCCCGGGTGTCAGCAGCACAACTGCAACCAATGCAATCTCTGGAGAGCACCATCCAATGTCCCTTAGTATTACAACTGAAATGTGCAGCATGCCACCCGAATGGACAGCCCTCAGCATATATAACCAAGAGTGTGAACACCATACAGGGGTGTGGGAGTCTGGGTCACTACAACAAAGGGAAGGGAAGGGTAGAAAAATACTTACATTTAAAAAAGAAAATTATATCTTGAAAATATACCTGGGTGGATGGGAGACACACTTTGCATTGCTCAGGGATTACTCTAGGCTACATGCTCAGGGAACAATGTGGGACCACGTATAGAACTAGGCCTGAACCCTGTACAATCTCTCTGGCCCCATGAAGAGATTTCAGTAAATACTGACATTGCATAGCTTCAAATGCAATTGGCTGGAGTGATAATACAGCAGGTGAGGGCACTTGCCTTGCCACAGACAAGCCAGGTTGCATCCCTGGCACCACATACAATGTCTGAGCACAGTCAGGAGTGATCTCTGGGCACAATGCAAACAGGAAGCCCTGAACACAGGTGTGGCCTTAAAACAGGAAATAATTGGATAATTTTTATAAATACATGTGGTGTGTATAGAATTATAACATACTGCTAAGGTTTATTTTATTTTTTTGCTTTTCGGATCACACCTGGCGATGCTCAGGGGTTACTCCTGGCTTTGCACTCAGGAATCACTACTGGTAGTGCTCAGGGGACCATATGGGATGCTGGGAAACGAACCCGGGCCGGCCGCGTGCAAGGCAAATGCCTTACCCGCTGTGCTATCACTCGAGCCCCCAGGTTTATTTATTTTTTAAACTTTTTAATTTTGGGGGGCTTTTTGGGTCAGACCCAGCAATGCTTAGGGGTTATTCCTGGCTCCGCTCTCAGGAATTTCTCCTGGCGGAGGCTTGGGAGACCATCTGGGATGCCGGGGATCAAACCCAGGTTGGCTGCATGCAAGACAAATGCCCTCCCCCCCTCTATCACTCTGATTCCCATACTGTGAAATTTTCGATACCTTGAAAACTAGTTTTCTATGTGTTCCTGCTTGAGATTTTAAAATCTCAAAAGATCACCTTCATCACCAGTTATATTAAAAGGAAATTCAAATATTTTCTTCCATAATTTAAATGAGTTTACATGCATGTACCATGTAAGGAAATTAAGGAAAAGTTAATTGAAATGCAAATTATAAGTATTTAAAATTAAGCAACATGTCACTGGCGTAAGCATACTTCAAATCCAGTTCCCTGGTCCCCTGGGCACCACCCACAGCTTCCGGCACCGTGCTGAGAGCAGCTCCAGACACTGGTGTGTGGCCCCCAAACAAGCAAACAAAATCTGGTTCCAGATGATGACTGAAAAAGGCAGGTCTCAAATAAAGACCGGCACCCCATATGGAATCAAGGAATGATCTCTGAGGACAGAGCCAGGAGTAAGCCCTGAGCACTGCCAGGTGTGGTCTCCAAACCAAAGCATAATTTTTTTTTTTTAACTAGGGACGGAGAGACACACTGTCTCTTTGCACAAAGTTGACCACTGTTCAGTCATACCCCTTCACCCCACCAGCACCACATATGGTTCCCTGAGCACCTCCAGGCAGGCTCAGTTGAATCTGGGTTCAGCTCCTGGCACCCCAAATGCTCCTCCAAGTCCCATTAGGAATGATCCCTAGACACAGGGCCAGGAGTAAGCTGAGTGTCTCCAGGTATCGCCCAAAAGCAAACCAATCAAAACCACAAAATTAGGGACTGGCGAGGTAGCTCAACAAGCTGAGCACAAGCTTTGTACTGTGGAAGGCTGAGTTCTATCCCTGGCACCACATGGTTCCCTGGGATGATCCCCGAGCACAGAGCTGGGAGTAACCCCTAAACACTGCAGGTGTGACCCCCCAAAACAAAAGCAAAGGAACAATAACAAAGTACATAAATTAAAAAACAAAAATAAATTTGTTAAAACAAAATGCAAACCAAACAACAATTCAACTTCAGAATGCTGAAAGGTGAGGTCTTTCAAATACCAAAATACAAAGAGAGGCCAGAGCAATAGGACAGCGGGTAGGGCACTTGCCTTGCATGTGACCAACCAGGGTTTGATCCCTGGCATCCCTTATGGTCCCCAGAGCACCATCAAGAGTGCAGAGCCAGGAGTAATCCCTGAGCGGGGTGTGACCCCAAAACAATACGAACAAACAAAAAAATCAAATACAAAGTGACATCCAAGACAACTTTAAAAACCAGAGCAAGCATTCCAGTTGGAAGGAGTCCTATCCAAATCTGAGATAGGTATGTAATAACTTTCTTTCACTTCAAGGGCTCTTGCCTCTGGAGCAGCCAGTGTTTTCTTTAAACTCATTGTCTTTTCTCCTTCTCCTTTGAATGAAATGATCTTACTTCAAAAAATAAAAATAATACAGTCAAAGGGCAAGATCCCTAGCACAGCAGGCCTACCCCAGCTCCACCCCCAGCATGGCCAAGAGCAAGCCCAGAATAACACATCAGAAGTAACCCCCAGCACTGTTAAGGATGGCTCCTAAATGAACAACAACAAAAAAAGAAATAACACGGGTGGGGAGACAGCTCGGCAGTACAGGATTTGTCTTGCATGTATAAAACCCTGAGTTTGATTCCCAGCTCTCTCTCTCTCTCTCTCTCTATATATATATATATATATATATATATATAAAATAAAAATATAGAGCATGATTTATC